TTGTTAAATGTACTTAGTATGCAAGTCTAATTTTGCCAGATGACAAACCACATGGAATGCTAACAAGGCAGGAGCTGTCATTGAACTTAAACCAAAGACTCATTACTCATTGTCTGTTTAATATTCATTGCAAAGAAGCTTTTTGTTTTCGAAGTCCCGTATCGTTTATTTATCGTTCGTTCAATTCTAATATACATATTTCCAATTCGCATTATTTGTAGAATTCCTGAATAAAATAAAATGCGTGGAAGTTTTGTAATATCTTTTCTGTCATCTCTGCCTCATGCTTCTAATTAGAGATATTTAGAAAATGATAGTTCATACCACGATCATAACATAGCATATGGTGCACGATGAAAAGCATTCTGAAGAGCTTAAATAAATTGATTGAATTGTTATGAGATAATTTTTGTTTCAATTGCTAAAAATATATTTAAACGAATATGCTATTATTTTTTGACAGGCGCGTAAAAGTTAAATGTAGCAAATACTCTTGTGATAATACAATAGCCTTTAAACACTGCTTCGTTCGCTTCTTATATCGAAAAATATTCAAAGTTCTTTTGCTCTGGATTGTGATTAGCTCAAAACAAATATTCCAACTAAATTTAACGTTTACAAAAATGCAGTTCATAAAATTTGTTCAATTTTCATAAATATTTACTAAATATCTCATTACGATATCGAAATAGCAAATGATTTCCTTTCAAATGTTATCTTATGGACTTTGCCTGTTTGACTATTCAGTTTATCAAAGAGGCTGTGCGTGCGACGCATATTGCATTTGCGCCTACAAATATTTGTATTCGTTGTTTGAATATGTATAGATTTGCTGTGTTTATGAAATTAAGGAATTTAACAATGACCGTTCTTCTGATTGCAAGAACATAAATATTATTGTTTTATGATACCGCTTTCAATTTCACGCAGTTGCAAGTTTGATATTCAGTGACATAAATTATGTATGAACAATATGGATTAGATAAATTTCCCTCTTCATATATGGATGATGGGTAACCTTTTTTATTTTCAAACCATATGTAGCAAAGTTCTGGAAATGTACTAGTGATGTATAGAGTCTGAACAACAAGTGAATATAATTATTTCCTAGCTTTGTTCTATATTGATTTGTTCTATGTTCATCTTTTGAGAATAGCTGTGTATGTGTCTGTTACACTAAAAGAACTGCATGAAATTCAATGATATATTTTAAAAAGATAACTGGGAATGTTTTCAAAGATATTTCAATTCGATAAGGCAGTTTTTATTACAACTATCCAAAAAACTAAAGTGACACCTGACAGACGCAGCCTCCTATCACTTTCGTTGAGTGAAAATCGTGAGAAAGCTTTGTCTTCGGAGATCAATAAGAAACTTGGGCGCGGAACTGATAGAATTTAATAACCCCCCCTCCCCCCCCCCCCCCTTATTATGTGAACTCCAACTTAAAATTATATTCACTACAGATTTATAAGTATTTGGTACATCATTAGAAAAATTATCGGCGCATCGTTTTGTCTGAGTTGAGTGGATATATTGTATTTGTTATTAAGTTCTTTTGGAAAAATATATATTTTATATATATAATACGGTTCTAAATCTAATATGAATAGTTAGATTTAAATCCTTTTTTTAATACCCACTAAAATCACCTCAGGTAGTTCGTATATAGGGTTCATACATGGCCGTATATAGGGTCCGGGGCTATTCTACTGGGGTTCTCAGCCGCATAACTCTGAAGCTCAAAACCTCACTCTTACTCTATATTAATTAGATTTAAATTCTAGAATTAAATTATAAAATTATATAGTCGCACAATTTGCGTGTCGTATTAATATAAACTTAATGAATCTTAATATAATATATAACGTATAAAAACCTTACCTTAATATCGGTGTTACATAAATTAGAGTTGAACTCAGTGGTGAGATAATAGGATCTCACAAAGACATGTAATTTGAGAGGTGGCGGCTGAGAAAGGCGCGAAATAATTGAATTGTTGCTTGTAAGAATGAAAGTGCGTATGGCATTCCAATACGTAATTATTAGCCATTAAACGAACAGTGATTGAAAAGACATTCTTAAGACTGTTATTCTTGTCCTCGATGTCTTCTAGGCCGTTTCTCTTTAGCCTGTAGCATAAATGTTTGCTGTTTACAGCCATTCTTCTGTGAATAAGATAGTAGGATTGTAGTAAAGCAAGGTATCGAAACATACGAAAGACAGCTCGCTGCTAATGGCACACTGAAAAAGGTACTTGTTAAGCCTGACTTTTTGCTTAAATATTTAACGAATTGACATATTTTACCGAGGCTTAATAGATTACAACAGGAAGTCCTTTTAATTTAATTAGGTGGTTTGAAGACTCCCTATACCTTTTTATACACCTTTCTACGAACAGGTGCTTTTATATTTATATTATCGAGCTTGACGAGCCTCGCTGACATTTTTTTATACCACAAAAAGTTAAGTCACTGATATTAGATACGCAGTGTCGTGCTCACAGATTTGGTTCGTCATTCGACATTCCATGTTTTAAGTACAATAAAAAAGCATAAATATCTTTAAGTTCTCTTCACATAAAACGATGAACCTGCTAACCGTGGTTTTGTCTGATAATTTGTTTGAAATATAATACATGGATTCAATTAGAAACAGCTGCAGTTATTCTTTCCAAAAGTTGTTTCGGCCTTTTCGATAGTTAAACAAATAAAACCAACGGGATTGATTACCCAGATGTTAACAGGTCACGATGGATTCTTGTCGTATCTATACAGGTTCAGGGTTAGACAAATTGCTGCCTGTCCTTGTAGCGACACAGCTAAAGAGTCGGTGTTACATGTTCTTACCGACTGTCCAATGTATGGATACGACATGTATAACACTGAACAAGCTATGGGAATAAAAGTAACAGAGACGAACTTACTTACTTAAACAATAGGTTAAGAGGCAACTTTCTGGAAATTGCTTAACCATCCGGGTCACCAATACCATTTACTTAAGTTGTACGTATACCTACATAAGTAATTTAATTCCTCCGACGACAACATTTTCGGGGAATTAGCTAGTAGATATATGTAATAAAAAATTAGTTAATTAACTCTTGATAAACCTTAATGTAAGTCTTTTCAAGTAACTTTTTGTCGAGTTATTTACATACATTATTTATTTAATAAATAGCAGGCGTATTATGTTATTATTATGATTTGCAATGCAATTAATTAACGACCCCATATGGACAATATAAATAATTCTCTGTTTTCCACAACATATACGAATAGAAAATGGGTTCGCATGCAATACATGTTTTCACTCATAATCAATACGCAATAGCTCATTTAAATACTAAATTTCTTAATGCAATATGATCTTCGTGCACGTACGTATAGAAACATGGTAACACCAAAAAGAATTACAAAATTCTCGGTGCGAACGACATGCCATTTTAGTTCATTAGTAGTAATCACCCTTGACTTCTTCAATTGAATTAGTTGCGCACTCGTCATTCACATATATGATTCGTCAGGAGGTTAATTTAGTTATTACAAGACAACCTATATTATAAAGTATGCTAATGCAGCTTCCTTTAATTGTAAGTCGCGTCTCAAATTAAAAAGAAAAGGAAATTCCTTAACATACAAAATATTGTATTTTATCGAAGGATCTAATATGTCTAAGGAAACTCCAAATCTGACGTTATAAAAACTGTCAACTCGCAAGGCTTATGCCTACATGCCTGGTAACAATCACACACAAAATAAAAAAGATTAAAAAAACTTATTTCCGAGCTATAATAAAGGATTCTAATGTAGCTTCCTTTAATTGTCAGTCTTGTCAGTCCTTTAATTGAGTCGCAAGGCAACATTATCACACACAAAATAACAATACCTTATCCGAATTAGAATTTTAACCTATCTCGTTGTTATAAAATATTTCGCAAATCGGAGTGCCTTTGGCATATGCCTCACCCAGCTCTCTCCAATGAGTTCTATCGTCGGCCCAAGGTCAGACCATCTAGCCATCGTCTTTTAGGGCGCCCTTGTCCTCTGGTCCCATCTTTGCCATACTACAGAGTTACCTAGTTGCTCCATTCATATAAAAACAAAATGTATTTATTACAGAAAAATTAAACTCGGCATTCATATGGTTTATATAGGAACAGGCGAACTAAACATACTAATAAAATATTCCTAAATTGTGTTGTTAAAATATTCTGCGGCAATGTATTGATGGTTACTAAGCCAGTTAAATATTTAATTTTTAATCTAATTAAATATGATTGCTTACTCCTTAATTAATGTAATATCCTGTTATCTTAATTTGTAGTCCAGTTTGTACGCGCATCGCGTTGTGTTTATACACTATTATTTGTAAAAAAATTAAATTAAAATCGTACATAATTTGTCCTCTGTCGACTTTATTATTTTATGCTTTGAAAATGCTATAGCGGTTAGGTACAATAGTACAGTGTTGAGCCGAAATTTATCAGTATTTTATCTTTATGTAATTTGATTCTGGTGTATTAATGCTGTGTCCGTCATTTGTCTCAGGATAACCCGGTCAGTAAGTTAAAACTGTTTGTATTTAATGGTTTGGCAGTAAACTATTTTTCTTAGACAAAACTTTGTTTATGTAACCCTATTCTTTTTAATGTTACAATTGGCAGATATAGGTTACGACTTTAATTATATAAACCTAGAATCCTCGTTTTATCGATTACGCCGTTAGTAATTACATGACATTACATAAACAGATATCATCTTTCCTAACGAGTATTTTCTTTAGATATATTTATTGTATTTGGTCAGCCACGATTATGTTATAATTAAGTTATTGACAAATATAAACAGTTAACACTTGTTCGGTATGACATTGACTTTCTTATAGCGTCTGATACGAGACGGCGGTGAGTTGTACTGCGTCGGCGCACATGCACGCCGTACGTTGACACGCGCGCGCGCATCCACGCTCCGCGACAGCCCGCGTGCCGGGCCCGCGATATGCCCGCAGTGAAAGTGTTTAATATATTCGGTGGGCAGAAGCCGACCGAGAAGCGAACGCCGCCACCCCCCGCTAATAATTCGGCCCCACAAAAATTCTACAGGACATTTTCAGTTGCGCCCGAAATCTCACCCGAAGTTAAAGGCGGCAAAGTGACCGCGATTGCTGCCTGCTTAGAAAAGAGAATAAGTGAGCCTGTGAAAGTTTCTAGTGATAACATTCAAGCAAAAAAACTATCGTCTAAAAACAATATTAGTGAAGCTGTGTGTTCTAAGACGGAAATTGATTCACAAAACCACGCGTATGAGAATGTTCAATTACAGTCATCTGACAGTTTGCGACCACAAAGTTTTAAATTATTAGAGAAATCTAAGGGATACTCTTCTATTTATGAAAATATAACTATTTTTAATAAGCATACGGAACGTGACGCCAACCTTGATAACGATCCGAACTCTGAGTCTAAACTTAATAAAGCATTAGAATCATTCGATAAAATATTATCTGAGTTTTCTACAAATTCTTCTTTTTCGCCAGAAATCAATTTAAGTTTTAATTCAAATTTTGTTGTACCAAAACTACAAAAGTCAAAAACTTGTAGTATCATAGAATCTCGGTGTATTCTAAAAAAAACGAATTCTGATCCTGAAAACGAAAGAAGAACCCGGAATTTATCACGAAATAATTCAATTGATAAAACTACTAGCTTGTGGAATCTTGACGACATGAAAGGGAAAGAGCTAACGAGCCCATTAAAGCCTTTGTCATTGGCACCAAATGATAAAATAAACTCTGACAAATATGCGACTTACAAAATTTCTTCTAAGTCTCCATCACGGCCTAATTGTATTAACACCGAAGATTTAAAGAAACTCGATGTTAAAACAAGAATTTTGAAAAAGACCCTATCAAATCCACCGTCCACGCCGGTTCCGGTCGTTAACAAAACAAAACTTAGTCCAAAAAAGAATGATAAAAAAGGCATCGAAGTTAAAAAAACTCGAACTAAACTTTGTCCAGAGACCACAAAGTCAGCGTTTGAGAGCAATTCAAGAACTAGAATGCAAAAGGCAAAGAGTGTGTGGGAAATTGGAACTGAATCAGCGGTGTCGCCGCCTCTGGAAAGGACAAAATCGTCTACTTCTATCGCGGGCTCTCCAAGCAAGATCCCGGTGATAAGGAGTCAAATGTCACAAAACAAATTTAGTAGTACAAGGGCGCTGTTTTCTCCCACTCCAGTTGATCTAAGCAACTTAGACCAGGCCAGAGAGTGTGCTCAGAAAAAGAAGTTAAACATCTCACGGAAAAGCGCAGATAAAACAGATATAATCAAACAAACAAAACAAAAGTCTCAACTGAATCTTAAAGCTGACGTGAAGCGGTCAACTGATAAAACCAAGAAAGATACAAATGAATCAAAAAAGACGCCTTCACCGAAACTATCACTTAAAGATTATTCAGAAGAAATCAACGCAATACGTGCCAAACTGCAACAGAAGAAAAATAACAACAAAAGAGACCTTGTGATAGCGACAAGTGAGAATAAAAGCAATGAAAATAACTATGAGACTGATATTGATTTATCTCCAGTAAAGAATATTGTAAAAAAAATTGAATTTAAATCTGCCCCGGAACCGAAAAACGAATCAGCACAATTTATTAATTGCAAAGTGATTCCCCCGGAACATAAGGTTTTATGTGTCGCAAACACTACTTTCCACAACTATTTGAGCACACTCGTTGGCCGTCAAATAAGATGTGTCGAATCGAAAAATGACAGTAAAATATGTTCTCAGATAGAGAAACTCCCGCTGAACAAGCAAACAGAGGAAAAAATTTCAGATACGCATTCAGATTGTAGTGACGACTCAGGACACGTTTCTAATGATGCAGTACACGACAGCGACGTTGTGTACGATACCATCAGGGATTTGAGCCCCGTAGGGAACGTGGATGTGGTGGATTGTAAAATGTTTAACCAGCCTAAGCAGTTTAGGACTGATTTAGCTGAGGACTCAAATGTTTGTCCTGTGCGACCTATGAGGCGTGGCGGGCGCTCCATCGAGGTCGTTAGCGGTACCTGTGCTGGCGCTGACGCTCCGAAAGTGGAAGAACAGGTACGCCATTACCATATCAATAACAACAAATTACAGGTGAATCTCTAACGCAAAGCGCTGTCAAAGATTAACAAGAAGCCGATATTTATGATGGTTAACATAACTTGTTAATATCAGAGCTATGGTAGAAAAACAACATTTCCTTTCCAACGACGAAAATCTGTTACACCTATATTCGTATTCCCATTCAGTATTACACTCTAGCTCCATACATAGTTCCACATACCTTGTTCTTAATGAGAAGAAGATAAAAGTACTGCAACTTACGCGATTAAACATTTACTACAGTATGTATATACCCAATTAACATTCTCCATTCAAAAGTAGACAATACAGCGACGTGATATGAATCAGTCAAGTTGGATACCAAACAGTCATAAGTCCTTTCACATTACAAGAGTGTTTAACATTAAAATACTGTGACATAAATACATTATGTTATTTCTAAAGCTCAGTAACACACATTTCCTCATGGTTTTTAATATTACATGTTCTTAGATAACAGTCGAGAACACGAATTTGCTAATCAAAATACATAAATTTGCATCTCAATTTTGAGTCCGTCAATAATCGATACGATCGGTGTAGCCCTTAAAGCCTTATGCAACCTCCTATCGGCATTCTTTGTGCTTAAATGTTTGATTACCCAGTCTTCAGTTATGTAATTAAAGTGCGCTTTTGAGTTCCTCACAAGTCCGAAGAATGCTACGTAATCCGTCCTTACGTAACATATACACATGACACCAACCCAAAGTTGTTTACGGTAAAGCCTACATAACTGCACCTCATAAAAACAGTCGTCAAATCAACTTTCGTTCTTGATTAAAATGGTATTACAAGTTACGACCAGAAAAATGTCTTTGTTTAGAACAAATCAGTTTGACTTTCACTGATACTTTACTGCGTATTCCAAGTGACGATTTTCGGTAATAAGTGATATGTTTGCGTTTCTCCGACACTTGTGCAATGGGATTTGATGATTTCTATTGCGAAAACAGAATATTATATTAAGACCAAACCCCTCAGCGACCAAATGCTAACAAACTGAATGTCGCTTTCTTTCATTGTAATTCAATTGGCAAACGTTATACATATATTACATGGAGCATCTTTCCTTTTACGTGTAGAAATTTTAGCCACATATAGAATTATAAAACAGATTATCTCGACGTAAATGAAATTAAAAAATGCACTCCATTTAATTTGGATTATGCTTTATAATTCAATTTTATCGTTGCTTTTACTTTCACGTTTTATACGGACTGTCGTATTGCATTAAAACAAAAGAATTAAGACGATTTACATCTTGTAACGATACATTTTTCTTAATTTTTGGAAGAAACAAGAAACCCCGTTAATAACAAATTCGAGTGCAAGTGCGGTCATATGACGAAAGAAAAGCAATTACTTTATTTAAATTAATAGACGAATTACCTGAACGAGTTTATAGAATATGTTCTCTACAACCCATACTATGTCCGAAAAAACACAAAATAATACATTTAAGACATATGTTGCTGTATGCAATATACATATTAAAAAATTAGTTTACGAATTAAGTAGGTATACAAAAGTATAATATTTTTAATTTATTTAACGTAGATGGTTTGTTAGTATACTAAGGATACGTTTTTAATAGTTCTTACTTGCGAACGGAACAAGTATTCAATTAAATATGATTTTAAAAAACCTTACTATTGATAAAGAACTTGGGCTATTTTTATAAACTTGATCAGGAACAAATATCGTCTATCTCAAATCGATTTCCGTTTCCGCATTCAATACAATAGCAACTATGAAACGTATCATCAATAAAATTACGTAAATGCTTTCCCTCTGTTATTTAATGGTTAATTGCGATTCCCGTAACAAACCGTATCAAGAAAGTATTCGCTCGGTCACGTAGGAATATCGTCGTATGCACAGCACGTCGAGCTTTCCCTAATATCCTCTCCAGACGGATGTTTTCTTAATGGTATCACATTCTTGATTATACTGAGATGTTTAAATAATTCTTTTATTTATTTAAATACGAATAATAATGAAATAGAAGAATCGTGATCAACGTTCTAGAGCCAATATATGATTTAGTACCACAACAATATCTAAATATAATATTATCATCATAAAACATTCATGTTTCATCCTAATAATTTAGGCAGATTAGCATTTTATATATGTTCCATCCTTATCACAGTATTACGTTTCTCTTTTCGTAATACCAGCATCACACATGGGGGCTTTATCTTGTATGTAATGTTGCCTAAAAAAATATTATTATTAGATTTTATTCATCGATTAACCGCACGCTTTGACAAATGTATCTTGTAATTATTTATGAGCAAAGTCAAAAAGCAATTTTTTTAAAACAAATATTCACTTTACAATTCTCAATATGGTATGTGAAATTGTTATTCACAATACATCAACGGGCGTATTTTCTAACTCTAATAGGCATTTATTAGAAACAGCTACAATTTGCGAGCTCTCAGACAAATTGTTTGAGTAATTTACGAGCAAACGCGAGAGTAGGGTTGACACCTGTATGTCATAACAAATGCGAAATGTTCTTGACATTCAGTTTTTATGTTGCAAATTATATTTTTGTAGTGTTAATATAAGCTCTCGTGCAATAACGTATGTCATACAAAACTTTTTTATATAATTTCATTTTGGCACAGTATATTTAATGTAATATGATCCACGATTCAAAGCTATGAATAGGAAGTTGTGGTCAGATGAATGAAAAGAGAGATGATATGGTGACAGCAGCAACCCTAAATTGAGTCAGTAATCACGTCTCTGCAGGTGGTTGATAATGACAGCAGCTGACCTACAATTTGTTCCCGATAATTTTATATGTAGTGACGTCTACTGGACATGACTAGTAGAAGATTGTTTAACTGAAATCTATGACACAGATTATACCTATTAAATCACGCACGCATGCGAATCATTGATTAGCTCGTTAAATAATTGTGCATTTCTTGTGTTACATATCTTATTTTTATTATTTTCCTACTTTTTAAGTTAGATAATATTTTACTTAAACGGGAAAATACAATATTTCATGTGAAAAGCACTCACAGCCGTTTGCCTATAATATATAAAACTAATCTCTTTGTGATTTTTATCTTTATAAAACACTGATTTGACAATTTAATTCAATTTGTGAGGGGAGGAACCGATATCAAGCAAGACCTAGCTCATTAATAAAGCTTAATAGGAATTTTGGCCAAAACGCGTTCTTCTGAAAGGAGGTACAAGTGGGAATTATTATTATAGAAACAATCTACACTATAAAAATTTGTCTAGACATTTTCATCCAGTGTAGTCTTTCTATAAAATAAATAGTTAAAAGCTTGCCTATATTACTCTTATTATTCCTTATACTATGTATCATCATGTGAATCATCTAAAATAAACTCGAATTTCGAAGAATTTAATGTACGTTAATGAGATAACGTGAGAAACAGAAAATTTCAACAATATTATAATTAACGCGGATGTGTTTTTGTCTCATGCCTTTGTCTTAGAATTACTTATGAACCCAAAAAACTGGGTTCAAAGATCGATGTTCGTGTAAAATCGAAAATTTTGCCTTTATTCCATCGGTGTTGTCGTGCAAATATGTTGTGTTGACGCTGAATAATAAACATGGTCCGTTAAGGCATTTGATTTCATTTACTGTTTAGAATTTTAATGATGTGCAATAAAATACTTCCCAGAAACTTAAACACTATGTTTAAAGCGATGAAAGGTTCGGCAATTTAATTGTTATCTTACTCGATTTACTTTCTTTTCTGATCATAGATATTATTTTTATTTAAATGAAACAAAGTAAAGAATTACAAAGAGTTATTAGATCTTAAAAGTTAAAAGATCTTTTGCTTTAGGGTCTGGGAGTAAGATTTAATGTCAAGATTTAGCGCCAATTGTAAGACCCGCATGTCGATATGGATGCATGGATTTGACATAATTATAATAAAAGCCTTTTGTTTCAGATACTTTACATTTAAATACATTAATATTTCTATCATCTCATTATTTTTAGATATCTGTGTGTCCTTTTTTGGCAAAGGCCTCCTTCATATCCCGTTCTCCGTCTCCTCTGTGCCACTCCCTGCAATGTACCACCTGCTGTTTCCTTAATCTGGTCAATCCACCTTCTAAATTGTCTTCCTCTTTTGCGTTTATTGTACCCACTTACTTATTAACATGCATAGTCCTAAATCTAATTATATTTATTTTAAAAAAAAATGTTATCATGTAGTAACTATTATGTGTGTGTAGGTACTATAAATATACCACTAGAAGTCCCAAGTGTTTAAAAATTAAATTCTTTATATTAAACTAACTAACTAACCTAAATAGAATATATCATGACACGTGAAAGTATAAATTTTAGTTTAAATTTATAGGTAATTACGTCATCTTAGTTTAAAGGTCACATAATCCTTGTATCTAGAGGAAATTACTTTTACATGTTTAATTAATTTTTCAATTTTCCTGCTGATAACAATGGTTTGCAGAAATTAAAACAATTGCCATGTTTTTTAAACCTTCAGACAGCTGAAATGTTGTTTTCGTCGTTTCTACAGTTTTTTAGTTCCATTCAAATATCGAATGAATGTCGGCCATTGTTTCACGGAATCAGATACGAAGATAAACATTAACTTCGATTATGTATAATTGTTTTCCTGTGATATCAGGCATTTAAATTGCTAAAAATTGTGGTAGTACTTGCTTCGATTCTACGTCAAATACAAAAATCATAGCAGAATAATGATGGATATGAAAGCTGAAATTATCATCATATTTTCCTTATATAAAGGTTCTTATAATAGATATTTCTGTCCTTCGTCTAAATCAGAACTTTGTTATTACTAATTGTTAATGCGTATTTATTGAATAAAACCACTTGTTAATTGAAGCGCGGCGGCCGGCGAGTGACTTTATTTACAAATGGTTTTATTCTGTATTAGGCCTTATATTGCACGCTATTAATCGAAAGTAAATTCAAACATTAATAAAAAAGTTATATATTAGACATGAAAATCATCTTGGAATATCTAAACTTAACAATAAATGATAACCCGTTACCCGTCTACGGGTTCCTTTAACTATCTTAACAGCGTAGTCTGTCCATAACAAAGCATCATAAGTAAGAAGATTTAAATTGTAATATTATAATTAAACAAGGCAAGTATAGGATGGACGGTTCATCTTCTGCCTGTGCCTGTGATCTAAGGCTAAAATCCAGAAGAAAGTTGGTCGGTAGAATTGAGCATTTTCACGCGTGATAGACACAGCCTAGTACTTTTTTTTTGAAAACTACGTTATAACTATGTGGAGCGTGCAATATTGCTATGATGATCGCACAGCTCGCTTTGCCGTTAAGATGGTAAATAATGGTGTTTATATAGAAAGCGATTAAGCTACACACACAAGTACTACACAAGTTGACCTAAAATTAAAACATATTACGTTTTTGCTTTTCACTATTCGGATTAATATTTAAATGCATTTATGTACTGCTTACTTAATACTTCTTTATAATAACTTAATAATTCGCTCTCCAAAACAATAAGCAATCGGGAGAGTGTTTTAATTTAAAGTAGTGCATTTTTATTTATTATAGTTAAATTAAAATAAAACGAAAACTGGTTGAACGCAGTATTAGGTAACAAATAAGCAATCGTTACGTTTAATAGACTACAATTGTGACCTAATAAGTGTACTAACACAGCGTACTGTAACTTTAAAATAGTTTTCACATATAACTGATAATCATAGAGAATGTCGTGAAAGTCACGTTTGACTTATCAATAACCCAGTAGGTATATAACTTTAAATACAATTTATTGCATGATTGGCGCCAACCTTGATAAAGTTCAATCGGTCATCAAGCATATATTGACGATGAAAATTACACTGGGGCCGGGGCGTTGAAAATAGGCTACATTATTATTTTGTACACCCCGACTTTTATTCGTTCGGGAATTAAAGAATCTAGTATCATGAAGCTAACAATGTAGACTTATGAACGTTGGTTTATGAAATTGATGCTTCTAAACATTTACTGCCAGTTCTTGAATCAAAGGCGTAGAACGGACGAGAAGAACTGGCTAATGTTTTTTTAAATGTTTGTAAGCACGCAACTATTACCAAAACAAGGAAAGAAGTAAGATAACGTTATTAATAAGTGTAACACTAAAGTTTTGGTGTCTCTTGGAAAATAAACTGCGCTCGGATATTGCTTACGCCTTACACCAAGGACCACGTTCAGAGAATCAGTTCTTAATTCATCTAGAATACTGGAAAATAAAGAAAAGCCTGCAGTTTGTAATGGCGCTAAATCGCAGTAACAGTAATAATGTCTTAATATGGAAATTAAATACTAAAAACCCAATATTCCAAGCATGTGAAAAATATTATTGTCAGGCACGTTTTTTAACCTCAAACAGCTTATCATTTTAATGACTACTTATATAGTAATGTGTTTATAATCTCGACTATAACTTCTGATTATATATCATAGATATTTAATACTGTTATTTTATAGGATACAAATTTATGTTATTTTAATTAAGTCAATTTTTGTATTTATTTTTTAACATGCTCGATTTTTCCAATTCATTTCAATAATTACTTATTATTCAATAGGTACAGTATTAGCTATAACAGGAATATAAACCCAACCATCTTGATAGGCTTCAAGTAGCAGGTGCCGTTACAAGAAACTTAATATCAAACAGTATTCACACATTCATATTGTAATAAGTCTTTAAAAATAGTCGTTCATTATTCTTTTAGTGAATATAGTTTGACGGACGTTTGTAAACTTTAAAATATTGTCTATTTATTAAACAATACATTACTTAGATAGTTCCTAATTATAAGTTCTTTGCTAACCAAGCGATAAGTGATTGAGCGTCTTCCTTTTTTATCCACTGAAAATGAAACAAAACTAATAAGGTCACTTACTTGAGAAGTGTTGGCCTAGTGGTTTCAGCGTGCGACTCTCATACCTGAGGTCGTAGGTTCGATCCCCGGCTGTGCAACAATGGACTTTATCTCTATGTGCGCATTTAACATTTGCTCGAACGGTGAAGGAAAACATCGTGAGGAAACCGACATATCTTAGACCCAAAAAGTCGACGGCGTGTGTCAGGCTCTGGAGGCTTATCACCTTCTTGCCTATTAGATTTAAAAATGATCATGAAACAGATTCAGAAATCATACGCGCATTCTCTCTGTATATATTATTGTTTTGTAAACCTTTTAATTAGCTGTAAGGTTTTCTAAATAAACAAAATGAAGATAGTTTTCCAAAACCACCGTGGAGTTCTCATTAGTTCTGTTTAGGCATAACCTTCCATTTGTTTGCCCTAACACTTTGGTATAACGACTAGACTCCCGCTTGAAGCGTTCATTATTTTGTAAATAAATATGAATGTTTGCGATACACTATAAATCACAATTTCCGATCGCGAGGCTTATTAGCATCACAACTAGGACGAGTTAAACGAGTGGACAATAGAGTTTGTCAAATGTTACTGATGTAGGTCACCTCGGTGTACTCCAATGTTACTTCTATATTGCTTCTAGTTGAGGAAATGACCGATTTGTCAAGGGCTAGGAATGCTCTTAACGTCAACTTTCGCTTTATGTTAAGACTGAAGAGTGAGTAATTAATATTCCACAGAGTTTCTCATGACGCTTTAGAACGGTGAATATGCAAAGAAGATACCAGTTGCTTAAGCGGCTTAATTTATGTCTTATTTAATATATTTTTGGATGGGAATTTAATAATGAAATATTACCTGTATTTAATATTTGACGACTCATTGGTCTAGTGGTTAGTACCCCTGACTGCGAATCCATGGGTCCCGGGTTCGATCCCCGGCTGAGACATACATCGATGTGATGAGCATTTGGTGTTGTGCTTAGGTCTTGGGTGTTTAAATAAGTATTTATATGTCTATCTATCTATAATATGTATGTATATCCGTTGCCTAGTACCCATAACACAAGCTTCACCAGCTTAGCATGGGACTAGGTCAATTGGTGTGAATTGTCTTTAAAAAAAAAAAAAAAGATAAAATTCTGTCGGTTTTTGACTTACAACTATTATTATATATAATAATAATAAAAGCCCTTTATTCACTGACCATTTTAACTTACATGCTATTCTTATTTAACAGTAGCATTCTTAGATCTAATTTACATAGCGAAATAATAATTATTTATTACTTTGGTCAGGTTGTCTGTCGACATAGGTTTCCACTCTCTATCCTTGGCAGACCTTCTCCATCCTTTTGGCAGATCGTCCTCCCATCTTTTAACTTGACCTCCTCGTTTTCTTTTCCCGTTTCTCGGATACCACTCTATTACATCCTTCAACTATTATTATAGTACTTGACGAATTAATCAGAGTATTTCAGTGGAGTTCCCTAAGGCCACGTTCACACGGCGATTATTTTCCCGTATACCGTATACGAGATTTTATCGAATAGAGTAGTGACAACAGAATATATATGAAAACTTAAAAATTGTTTACACGGCGTTCATAGGGGAAATCCCGTGTTCGAGAAATATATTTTACCGTATACCGTGCGAAGTTGTCACTGGAAACGCTGCGTCTCTAAACGATTTTATCGAATACGACACGCAGTGGCGCTTATGTTCATGTTGTCTCGTTCACACGACTCGCCCATTCGAGAATCGTACGCACTCTTGTGCGTTGCATCAGTCGGTTGTCAATATGGAGGACAGAATTCCAATATTGATCGAGGATTTTATTTCCTTGATCGAAAAAAAAATCGAATCGAATGGTTGCCGTGTGAACGATTGCATCGTATACGGTAAAACCGTATACGTGAAAAAATCGAATCGAATGGTCGCCGTGTGAACGTGGCCTAAATGTATGTCTTTATATTATATTATGTTAAGAGCTATCTAGACAAACATAATAATGGTAATACCGTAAAATATTCATAATTACCTTTTGCTCCGTCAGAGTTCAAAATTATAACAACAGGTGAAAGTGAACGTAATACGCCAAAAAAAGTATTTCACGTCACTATATCGCGTTTATTTTAAACGGTAAAAGTATGGAAACGATTATAATATTTACGTAACTTTTTAAAATCTTAATAGGTATCTTTATGAAATATTGCATCACCCGTCATGTTTGTATTGAAACAAATTGCACATTTAAAAAATAATTTGTTACTTATACAAAAAAACTATAATGAAACTAGAATTCGTTCGTTCCTCTGTTGTAACATTTTTAGTACTTCCGAAATGATATGTAGTTTGAACAGGTTTTAACATAAGAAAATATTGTATTTTAATGTGTTTCTGTTCTTATTTGATTACTATTGTAAGTAAATCGAATGAATATTTAAAACACAACTTTTACTCTTTATTTGAGTTTTATTCTATTTAAGCTTATGTTTATAAGCTTAATTTAATAAATACGTTATGTTGTTATAGATTATGTTCCGCGGCGGCGTCGTCGGAGAACTTGACGCTCGACGGGACGCTGCATTCGCGCGTGTCCTCGAGCGGCTCCAAGCTCGCTCTCGGGGCGTGCTCGCGCGCAGACGGGCACAAAAACTCCGTACACAGCATACAGCCGCTAGGTAATTTTAAACCATAAGATAGTAGATAAGCTCCTATGTATACATCTTTTTGTTTTAAGTCTTTAGCTAATCTTCAATATATATGTTTGTGACTTGTAATTCATTATACCAAGTAACATTTAAAACTAAGAGTTGTTACATTGTATGCTAAAAACAAAAGGATATTTTTGTTGGTTGTAATGTTTCAAAGTTTAAATCTACTTAGTCATTATGCACGACAGAAGTGCAATCATTCCCCAGTCTAATGAGAAGTGTTATTACAATACAGAAAGTACTAACACATTCTAATACTTACACAGAGCACATGTTTATTCTTATATGTGTTTTGAATTAATATTTTATCTATGCATATAAATAGATAAGATAATGATAATCTCCAGATGCGTCCAACGTAATGTTCGCGCATTTCTTGCGGTTCGCGATTGGCCATGGTGGAGGCTGCTCGTTCGCGTTACGCCGCTGCTCGCCGTGCATCGCACCGAACATCAGCTCAAGCAGGCACAGGTAAGCTTGTTATGACCGTTATTACGAAATAAGCAACCGGTTGCTTGCGAGATGGTAACTCGTCGGCTATATTGTAATTTAGTGGGCATCTCTAAGATAATTAATATAATTTTGGTATAATTATCATAATTTTGGTATTAAATATTGGTAATATATTTGAGAACTGTATAGGATAACTTAACATTATTAATTGCCCTAAAATACACTCATCCCAAGTTGCTTATCATTAATTAGATTTAAACCCATTTTAACATTGTATTGTAAAACAATTCTAATTTTCGGAGAAAAAAATTAAATTAGTAAAAAACAAGGCCTATAGATCCGTTCGGTATAACGGATTTTAAATAACTGGGTTATTTAAGAGAAAATTATCAAATCGGCGTAAATATTTTGTAATTAACTTATTAGTGTTCCTAATAAAATAAATGATTTTGACAGAATCCTCGTTCTTCAACTTCAACTTTGATTTACGATAAATTAATGACGGATACAATTATTTAAAAGTGAGAATCATGAAATACGTAGCTTACTGTTTTCCTGAATAATTGCATATTTTTACAATTACATTTCGTATTCATTGTTGAAAGTGAAATTGCATACGTAGTGTCGTGCAAGAACTTAAAGAAAGGTTTATGACTTTAAGTGATTATGACAAAATATTAAGTTAAAATGTAGCTGATATTCGTAGTCACATTAATCTCATGGCGTTGCATAGAGATGTGGGTTATCTCTGCATCTTCTACTGTACCATAGATAGTGTTCTAAGGAGTTGTTCGGATTAATACCTGCAGCTGAGTTTCATCATCGTGCGTCATGGCAAAATACGAAATACCACCCGTATCACCTCGACGTCCATCGTTTCACAACTGAGCGTTTTTTAGAGCAGTTTTTGCCACGTATGTAGATGCTCACCGATGTATTTCTGAACCAATTCGACTTAAGGTCCTTAAAGAAAAGAACGTACCGATTCTTAAAAGCCCGGCAAGGCAGTTACCAACCCTCTGCTAATGTAAGTGTCTATGGACGGCGGTACCACTAAACACCAGATAAGCCTCCTGCCCGTTTATATAAAAAAAAACATTGATTTTGCAGATACATACAAAGTCTTACTCCTAGTATTAGTAAACGAATGACCAATACAATATTTGTACTTTTCAGTGTATTTTAAGTGTTGGTTATATCTCTCTTATTTAGGCTTTGAGTAGAGTAGGTACGAAGACCTTTTACGCACACACAAAGAAACATTCGCCAATGAGGTCTACTTAGTAATCGTCAAAATTTTCTAATAGCAACAAAACATATTAATGACATTTATCTCTGCATAGCTACCATAAGTCAGATTTAATGAAACCGTTAAGTTTCTTAATTTGATAACAATTAGGGACGATGTTGCAATATAAAAAGCGTAACTTCATAGGTTATCAAATGATCGTAACCTCTTAAGTGAGCTTCCCTCTTAGAGAGTCAGTGACCTCAGCAACAAGACTAAATGAATTGCGTAGGTTTAATAACTTAATTCCTTAGAACCGTGTTAAGTCGTTGTACCTACGTGGGACTCTGAAACCATAAATTGAAATAGAAATACTAGTTTATGGGAAATTGTTTAATGTGATTCATTTTGTTTAATTTATCAAATGTTATGTTTTTTCTATAATATTTTTTGATATATATTTTAATATTTTTTTTAATTTCTGTTTTATATCAATTAATGTTTTATTTCTTTATATAGTAAACAGTAAATCGTTAGTTTATCGACCCTTTTATCATAGGTGAATGAAACTGCATTTGCAGGGATGCAAATTATCAACTTTTACGATTCAATGTGGTCATCAATATTGTTTATTTATTGAGATAATGCAGTCTTAAATCGCTGTATGGATAAGTTATGTTCTCACCGCAGTTCCTGTACAGTTTTATAAATGCTGGTTGATTGTGTTTAAATCTATAAATATTTAAATTTCGTTTCGACAAAATGCTTCTGTCCCTCCCACACTTTGTGGTTAATATCGTATTATCCAATGCTTTGTGGCAAGGAACTTATAAACGGGAATAATACATGTAAAAAGCTAGTAATACTTTTCATTTATCTTTCTGGTACTGTGGCTCTACCATGAGTCTGACAGAGAACCCGTAGAATGGAACCGACATATGAAGTACTTGTTTGAACAATCTTAGATTTGACCGTAGCCGTTATAACCGCTCTAACCCTCGGATTCAGAAATGATACTGGCGAACGCAGGGCCAAATCCAATATATTTGAAGTAAGACTCAGCGCTAAGCCTCGTTTTTGAATCTTACTCTTAGATTTCTCGGGAAAATTAGTTATTTGAGTGTCAGATACTTTACTTGGCATTAGCAAGGATTACTTGGATATTTATGCTATAAATCGATTTTCCATTAAAGGGAAGAGAATCAGTTAAACAGCCGTAGAACTAAATTTTTGTGACTTTACTACTAAGACTCTTTTAAAACCAATATCGATAGTTAAGACAGCGTCGCTCTTGTTATGGAAACTTATTGAATAATTTTTCTTCGTCATCTAAATATAGCACATAACATGTGTATATAATTTTTTTACCAAGTTTGTAATTTCAACCATAATACTAAAAAACGTGTTTGGTACCACCCGCGTTGTCTATTACCTCAACTTAATGTGTCGTAAAAATAAGCATAGCATTTTACTTTTATAATAAAATTATTTTAAATAAAATAATTAAATGTAACGCTTAAGTCTTGATCTGATAAAAACAAAAAGGTTACAAATATTTATATGATATATTTACGTATTTTAATACGATTATTTCTCGTACAATTATAATCATGAATTTAAATCACCTATTAATTGAATTTGAAAATAGAACAATATAATTTAATTAAACATCATGTTTTATGATAAATAAATTTGCTAGGAATAGAAACTGATTATATGAGTATTCTAAGGTTACTAAAAGCTGTTTAAAAAATATAAAATACAATTGTGAAATGATTCCTTAGGGCCGGTTTTTTGATCCGTAGTTAACTCAACTTTGGTAAAAAATCTTACTATTAGTTAAATATCAGCAAAATGCGTTTTTGATCCGTGGTAAGAGCATCCAATGGTAAAATATCTCAACCATTAGTCAAAAAAGTTAACTACTCATATCGGAGGGTTAAAAAGATGGCCCTGGTAATTTATATAGTAACAGCTGTTTGTCACAGAAATCAAACTATGATAAATACGTTTATTACTATCTAATATGAATTTAAACATATTGAGATACTTTAATTAATGAGACGATGAAGAAGACGATATATTATATGAGAATGTGTTAATGAGTGACCAAAAATATTTAGGCAATTCATCCGCCATTAGAAACCTGGATGATGTAGATTTTTGTCACTGTTACCCCCTATCGAAGGGAACAGTGCTCTGATTGTTACTGAAATTGGGAATGATCTTAAACTCCAATGAACAAGAGTATATATAGACAGCAGCTCATACCAACCTATTTTTGCTTCATTACTAACTACAGTACCGCAGCAGTATATAATTAAGTATATTACTAATTCATTATGTGTTTTATTGCCTATAATATTAACTTATAATTATTATAATTAAATAAAATACAAGAACAAGAGTATATATAGACAGCAGCTCATACAAACCTATTTTGCTTCATTACTAGCTACAAACCGCAGCAGTATATAATTAAGTATATCACTAATTCATTATGTAGTTTATGTCTTTCTATAATATTAACTTTATAATTATTATAAGTTAATATTATAGGCAATAGAATACATAATGACATTAGAGTTAATATTATTTATATATTACTAATAATATTAACTTATAATTATTATAAGTACATACAAGTATGTACTTATACTAAAAACTACAGCTACACATTAGTTAGGGACCTATGATATTCTTTAGGGCTTTTATTACATTTGTGAGTTAGCATCTACCTACTTTATTACAAGAATTTATAAATAAAACATTTGACCTGATTAATAAACTGTTTAATTATACTTAAATACAAACCTTTTATTAAAAAACATTACAAAATTTACATGAAACCCTAAAGTAGCAATTAAATATTTTCTAATTGTTTCTTCTTGCATTTCTCCTCAATTTGATGCAACTCTTTTTGCTGCTACATATATTTATTGTGCCTTTCTTCCATCTCTCATCACTTTTTGGTGCACCTCCTCTATATGCAGTATGAATTTTTGGTGGGCCTCTCATTTCAGCAAATTTTTTGATGCTCTTCCTTAGCATAATTGAACAAATCATCCTCTTTTTTGTCTTTGTTTCAAAAACTCAATTCTTTTTATCCGTGTGGATCATAATCCGCTTCCTTGTTTCCAAAGGGTTAAAAGATTTTTTCCTTTTGTTGTAGGACACAGCTATACAAGAATAAATATAAAAATGTGCCTACACCTTCATTAAATGTATATTAAATTTAACACTTCGGTGTCTAGACCCATCTGAGTTGAAAACGTCACAGAGATTTTCAGCTGCATCGTTTTGTAGATTGCTGCAGTGATCATTGTTTGCAGGTTACGACTTGTAATCCTTGAGAAGCATCACCAGTTTGGCAGTTTCTTTTTGGCGAAGTTAGCAGTATGGTCCCTTTAACAAAACATAAATGTATTACTTTCTATTACGAAACACAGATAAACCGGAATAAATAACACGAAAATATGTTTGTACTTACTTATTTGACCGTTGGCTGTTTGCGAACATCGTTATTTATATATTTAAGTATCGTAAAAAGTGTAAACCTATTAAATCACAGAAAAACAACTTTATTTATATCGTGTTATTTAGATTAATTTGTCACTTCAAACTCTTCAAAGCGCAAATAACGAATGAAGATGGCAAAAATGATTTCATTCACTCAATATGTCTAGTGTTGTCATACAAAATAAATGTTCCCCACAAAAAAGAACCACTTTTTGGGATGTCATTGCTCATTGCACTGGCAACAAATTGACAAATTGTTAAGTTTAACTAT